CTGCAAGGAACTGACTTACGAGTTTCCGCTGATGTGGTCCGCGAAATTTTCGAGCGGTGGGATAATGCTCAAGCCGCGACCACCCAAGTCATTCTCCAAGGTGAAAAACACCTCGCCGAGGAATTGGGTCGCGACCCCAGTCGTGGTGAGGGAGTTGGCGGCGTTTGCCACATTCACGTTATGGGTGTAGAACTGGGCGTTGACACGCTGAACGCTAGTCACGAAAGTAGTGACGGTGGAAGTGGACACGGCACGCCACCACTCATCCGCAACTTCGCGACTGGCAAAGGTAATCGTGTATCGATAGGTCGAGTTATCCGTGACCTGAACAGAGATTTAGCACGACATCGCAGACAACGAAGAATGGATTTTGGTACCTGTTTGACATATGCGTAGAAAACCATGATTGTATATTCAACAGGAGAGATGATTTGTTGGCTGTGGTTGGATTTAAATGAGTCGTTCGAACACTGTACATTATATAGAGAGAGCAAGTTGTTTGGTCGGGTTGACCATAACGTTTCGACTCTCGACCAACTGGGATTTGAAAATCAAAAGGGGGCGGATAAAGAAACACTGCCGATCCGAGCGAGGACCAAAATATAAGATGATTTGACACGTCGCGCCAAGCTGGACATTCCGGCAGCTGCATTTCCCGGCACCTGAAGATGCACAAAGTCAGCAACCTCGTCCGATGGGTGTGGAAACATAACAACCGGTATTCGATATAGCCTTGATCCCCCTTGACCAGATGTCCTTAGTATCACCATCGTGACTCGTCGGTGGTGGCATGTCTATCTTTCTGCAAAAGGAACAGGCAACATGATATTGTCCAAGCGTGTGCGAGATCATGATTAAAGCTGTAAGGAAGAGGGTTACGACTTACCTTCATATTATGTAATAATACACTTCGGTCCGAGTCCGATCGTAACGTCGTTGCTTCAACATTGGAAAAGATAAATGTGGTAGTGTATATTGCCTGTATTCAGTGTTGCTAACTGTTCATATTCTATATTCTATGTACTTGCAGGATTTTTAAGCCAAATAAAATTGTCTGGATCGACAGAAGATACTCCAGGGTGAGACAAAGAAATGGTAGGAACCGAACTTGGTACTTTGTTTTTCTCGGGTTGCAGAAGGACTAGCACTTCGGGTACGCCGGCGTGTCTCATGTGTCGAGGGAGGGATGGAGCATTTGAGACGGTTTGTGCAAAGACATGTGAGGGTTGAGTGGTCTGGACACAGGCCGAGAGATTTATTAAACCTGAGTTCACAAGGAGAATAGGGTCGAATGGCATACCTGAATGATCATAGTAGGGTATGAGGTCCCAAAAACTCAACAGCGGACCCGGCCGATTTGAATGGTTTTGATTTTCTGTCTCGTTTGGAAAGAAAATGTTGAATATATTCCTGAAGGATGGTTATAACAAGTGCACTGCGTATCTCAAAGCACTGACAAAAGCCACAGTTTTGATATGGATTTCCAAAAGCACGATAAACACAGGACAAGCGTTAGTAGTACTGTAAATCTGGTGAGAAGTGAATAGAGCACTATACTAGTACATTGTTCCGTGCGCTTATTTTCAGGAGTAAATGAGGAGAAAGATATAGTTTGCTTTTGAACATGTGTGCCAATCAAGGTCACCACTTGTATTACATAAGGCCCAACCAAAGAATGCCATGACCGTCGACGAGTTCGCCTATGTGCGTGCTCATTAATGAATAAGCATGACATAAATATTAAGCTGTGGCATCTTCTTCTTTTCTCTACACTGTTGAGTGTTGTCGCTGTTGTATCTTATAGTGGGCTCCCTGTTCTGTTCTCCTATGTGCATTGACTTATCCTTTTCTGCAGTGTACGATATTCGTCTACAAATTCACGTGCCGCATCGCTCGTGTGCTTGACGAACGTTGTTGTCTACCGCATGCGGTTGCCCATACCACCTCGGATTGCCCCAATTACTATGCTGCACTTTATTGCCCTGAATTTCATCTGTCGTGCTTCGAATCCCCTGGAGACTTATGTTCTGGACTTTCGTGAGCGCTGAGGCCGTTGTTTGTTCGTGCAATTACTGTCACTAGTTTGACGGCGAGTCGATTGTGGTGACTCACAACAAGGTGTCCGTGTCCTCTTCAAGCATCGGTTGGCTTCTGACCAATGTTATGATGTATTGACGTCTGTTATTTCACTTCCTTGCTCATTTCCGACACAGCTCCACTATGATTGCAAAACATTTGAGCCCCCCTTCCGGCTCTCTGCGCTGGCTTTCTCACCTGTACTACTGCCTAGCACAAGGTCATCCCATTGTCTGTCCTCATTCTCGTGCTAAGATCGGTCATGGATCTGTATTTCGCATTCAGGAACGCCTTTTGTTTCCGCAGTCAGCCGGCTCTCAAATCATGCGCGGTCCTTTCCAACATGAAGACAAGATAACGGCGGAAGAAAAGGGGTTTGCTGTTCATATACAGTTTTGAAACCACATGACGGTCAGTTTCTCATGAACTTGTAGAGCTGCGGACAGAACCCTCCTAAGCGAATCTAGAACCTGGACTTAAAGAGGTCCAGGAACTCACGAAGACTTCGGAGGGTAGCCAACCTATCAGGTCTAGGCTGTAGTGACGGAGTTGCAGAGTATAATGGTGTCATTTTGCGACACTGATATGCACATGTGCTGGGCAACGAAACAAAGTATGTACAAAGTTCGTGCTTAGTCTTGAGTCATGTGTAGATGAAGGTAAGTCGTCACTCTTGTCATCACTTTCTTACAGTTTTGGTCTCAGCAAAGTCTTTAGCACTACAGTAAGGTCCCTAAGCTAGGAGAGAGGGAGCCGCCTATCTGTCTAGACCTAGGGTTGTACTAAGATCAAGGGGACACGTACATTCCCCCAATCTGACGGCACGCGGGTACCACTGGAAAAAAGGTCAGGAGCAACGCAAAGGCACTCAGAGCGGAGGGTAGGTACTAGGGCGCATAAAATGCAGATCCATTGTCCCCAGATCTACTGTCAGTTAGGGCTCCATGACGGCATTTCCGACAGCGTCACGGTGATAAACACACAGGACAAGCATTAGTACTGTAACTTTGGTGAGAAGTGAATAGAGCACTCTATATTGCATTGTTCTGCGCTCTTATTTTGAGGAGTAAATGAGGAGAAAGATATAGTTTGCTTTTGAAGTGGGATGACTCCCAATGGTGAAGCAACGACGTTACGATCGGACTCGGACCGAAGTGTATTATTACATAATATGAAGGTAAGTCGTAACCCTCTTCCTTACAGCTTTAATCATGATCTCGCACACGCTTGGACAATATCATGTTGCCTGTTCCTTTTGCAGAAAGATAGACATGCCACCACCGACGAGTCACGATGGTGAACTAAGGACAGCTCGTCAAGGGGGATCAAGGCTATATCGAATACCGGTTGTTATGTTTCCACACCCATCGGACGAGGTTGCTGACTTTGTGCATCTTCAGGTGTCGGGAAATGCAGCTGCCGGAATGTCCAGCTTGGCGCGACGTGTCAAATCATCTTATATTTTGGTCCTCGCTCGGATCGGCAGTGTTTCTTTATCCGCCCCCTTTTGATTTTCAAATCCCAGTTGGTCGAGAGTCGAAACGTTATGGTCAACCCGACCAAACAACTTGCTCTCTCTATATAATGTACAGTGTTCGAACGACTCATTTCAATCCAACCACAGCCAACAAATCATCTCTCCTGTTGAATATACAATCATGGTTTTCTACGCATATGTCAAATATGTACCAAAATCCATTCTTCGTTGTCTGCGATGTCGTGCTAAATCTCTGTTCAGGTCACGGATAACTCGGGCTATCGATACGTGATTACCTTTGCCAGTCGCGAAGTTGCGGATGAGTGGTGGCGTGCCGTGTCCACTTCCACCGTCACTACTTTCGTGACTAGCGTTCAGCGTGTCAACGCCCAGTTCTACACCCATAACGTGGGTGTGGCAAACGCCGCAGACTCCCTCACCACGACTGGGGTTGCGCCCCAATTCCTCGGCAAGGTGTTTTTCACCTTCCTGAATGACTTGGGTGGTCGCGGCTTGAGCATCATCCCACCGCTCAAAGATTTCACGGATCACATTAGCGGGAACTCGTGAGTTAGTTCCTTGCGGCACGTTCTGCATTTGGCTGATAGCGACCCCACCAAAGTTTCTTCATTCGCTCCAAAGTCGCTCCTTACGACTATTGGTACTATCCCACATCGTCTAACACGACGAACGCGGTGTATGTTTCGCGCACCGAACGCACTCGCTTCACCGTTAGTCTCACCAGCGGTACTGCAGGGACCGTCATGATTGGCTCTGACGATGTCGTTATCACGTTGACCACCTCTGATCTGTCGGTCAACGTCGATGCCACCACCGCTCAAGTGATTCTTTCACTTGCTCCTCTGACGGGGTTGACTCTTAGTACCCTTTTGACCAACTTCACCGTTGGGTCTTCCTTGTCTGTGAACAGTGAGACCGTGAAGGAACTCCTCTACACGGTGAATGGGGAAGAGTGGGAACTCGCTTGAACTGCTATCATTTGACACAAAGCTGTCATGCACCCGGTACTGTTATAGTCTCTTCCCTAGATAGCTGAAAGTGTACTGTTAGTAACGCTATGAATTTTCTGTTGAACGCCTGCAATCACATGTACCACTGCTTTTGAGATAGACTGGTGATTACTAGTCCGTCAATGAGACGCCCTGGCTATGCCACTCATGCGTGGCTATACAAGCCAGGCTGGTCCCGAGCCTAGCTTGCGGCCTTTGAGATGCGTGAATCCTTTTGGCATCGACCTCTCTACTAACCTGGCATCCAAATGACTCAGACAAATTTGTACACATTCATTTTTTGTTAGTGATAATCAAAATCCAGGTGCGTGCCGTGCTGAATAGTATCTCCACCGGTAGGTCGTGGTCTCTAGTGTTCTCTACCCCCATGGCCATCACATCTAAGTCAAATATAGCATAGATACACATCTCTTTCAACTTGATTCGTTCATATTCATACACCAATGATAGATTACTGCTATATTGTTCTTAGTTCAAGTTGCTACAGCGGGCCTCACCATGCTCTTCTCGTACCATTCCCTCTCGAACTTAATCGCCTTCTTGAGCGTCCCTGATGTGCGCCACCCATGTTGTTCGCCATCGAAGAAATGCGCCTCAACATGCCCCTTAGATTTAATGATCCCATCAATAATAGTCCAGGATTGTGGAGGCGGAACAACTGCATCATCTTTGCCTCGAAGAACCGGAAAAACACAACACATTTCATCGAGATATAAACATACGAGTAATGGGGTTTTGATGTTTGCAGAGAAATACACCGGGCTCCGGTCGTGCCAAACTTTCGGAATCTCTTCTCTTGCACCGCTGAGAAGCTTTATGATATACATCAGCTCGAACTTGTGCGTATCTTCTGCAAAAAGCTCCATGTTTGAGACTCCGTAGCTGTTCGTGGCACTTGCGAAAAATTTCACTTTGCTCGCTGCGGAGGAGTCCAAGGAGATGGCAGCAAGGGTAGTAAACCCACCCGCACTCCCGCCCCGGATCGCAGTGCGTTTGGTGTCGATGAGGGAACTGATTTGAGGCGATTGGATTGCGCCAATGCAGTCGCTCACGTCGGTGATACCCCAGTTTCCTTGGAGGCGCTCCCTTTGTCACCTCTTCAGCGTTGTTCCACGGGAAACACGACAGCAAATGGTAACATACATATATACGCGCCCATAGCACGAAGAGCCGCTGTAGTTTACATCCAACCTGCAATTTATGAGCGTGATGATACTGCGGTAGTCGACAGGACCTACCAAGCATATTTCCTGCTTGTGAAATACTGCTTCTGCCAATTCAAATTCTGGGTCTTTAATCCTGTGGGATCACCGTATACGCCAAGCACGCAGTGCAGCTTCTCGTTGGGAATGCTCGAACCCGCATAAGCTGGGTTGTTGGAGGCGTAGTACACGGCATATATGGTCTTGTCGCCTGCCACTTTGAACTCAAGCGGGGTTGGAAGCGAAATGATGCCTTCAGGGAACGGAATATGGTGCGTATTTCTGAGCCATAGTATGATAGAACGTTAAGACAGTCAGTAGATGGGATGGTTGTGTGGGAGTAAGGTTGAAGAGAGGGAGCGGGAGTTACATGCCAAGAAAGACTTAAGCTTGGGTATTAGTTGTAATACATATGGTACATGCACCGGTGACCGTGCACGCGTGCACGTTTCAGCATTTCTGTCACCTGAGTTCTGGCCTGACCATTTTGGAACACGTCGATCATTTTGCACGATGAACCTCTCGCCTTTGCGCATGCGCGTTAGGGTACGGACGAAAAGTCGGTTGTTAATAACCCTGCTAAAAAAGGTGTGTTATTAACACGCACACGGTCATGGGGTGGTGACATGGTGCTAATAAGTCTGTCGACCCCCATGGTCTTGGTGGGTTGCGTTCTAATCTTCCGCCGTTCCTCGCAGATCATTAATCATTAACTTAGAAGTTTGCAATGCAAATCTTGCAGAGAAGCAAGCCGTTGTCTGACATGGGACTTGAGTCTCTCGCAACGAAAATTTCAACTTGTTTTCCCTCTTTCTCGCACCAGTTGAGCACTCAAAATGGCCGACACAAAAGCCTCAGATACTAATGTTCTCCTTATTCCTGCCTCCGTGCAATCTATTATTCTTCCAGATCAAAACTTATCTGTCTCGTCATTCCTCCAATTTTCACTTCCGTCAGCTTCAATTACCACCGCTCCACCACTGCGCAAATACTTTAGTACTGACTGCCCGCCCAAGGACAGCTCCAAGTCATATCTTAATTATCTCCGTGCGCAGCCCCTTCCCCGCCTTTCGGTTCTGCACCAGCTCCTAGAAGGCGTGCAACGTGCAAGATTAGGCGGTAGCCAGTCTATTGTCTATGCCCATGCCAACCTCAATCAATCTTTTCCGTTCTGGATCCTGACATATTGGCGCCAAGCCCATACTCTCCTTGACATCCAAAGTAAATGGCGACAGGCAGGAGCCTTCCTCACCAAGTGTCAACCTAGTCAAGATGAAGAAGACACATGGCTCGATGAGATGCTAGCAGGTAAACCAGCGGAGGATTCGGCCTTCGACATTGAAGCAGATGCAAACCTTCATGCACCAATTGTTACCAAGGCCTTGTCTGATGAACGCATGGACAGTCCTGTCAACGGCTTTGGTAGCGCTCAAGACGATTCTGCGGAGGATGATGCTGACCTAGAAGGCATGGACACCGAGTGGAGCGAAGTTTGGTAGTACCTGTAGCGAAATTTTCGATTTTGGGGTCACGTGATAGTTAATAACCCTACGCAAGCACTTGATTATTAACATAGGTTAATAACACCACGCTGACTTATCGTCCGTACCCTAATGCGCGTGATGTTTGGATCAAAGGCTCTTGACAAACAACTACTCTTGATCGGGAAACAATTTCAAATTTTTCTTACGTAACTAGTTTCAAACACGACTGAAGCTCACCAAGCTTGCACATGTCTGGTTGATCACAATTTGACCACTACATTGCGCATACGGTAGCAGCAGCATTTTGACAAGAATTCAACATCTCACTAAATCCACCTGGCGTTACTGGTCTACGAACATTCACTCATATCTGTTTCTCTGAGAGACTATGATGTTTGCGACAACGAATGGGCTCTTTTGACTCATACCTGGTATGACTACCCCAACTTGAACAGGTTCATCTAACGCTTCGCATCCACGACTCAGTACTCAACAAAAGTATCAATCCGATAGATCGTAGGGCACACCAGGTACCCCAACGTGATGATGAAATACCATTCACCGTTGGACAGAACCTGAGAGGAGGGGACTTACTCAGACGATAGCTTTACTCGGGCCTTCGAAACGTCGTGACTCAAATTAAGAAAACTGGGTCAACTACGGAGTAAGTACATAATTTGCTCCACCGCCTCGACCATGTCGACTAATCTGACTCACAGGGAGATGACGACGCACTATCTTTGAATCGGGATTGGTCACATACATCACATCCTCCCGGGTTCAATAGAATGGCCTTTGCTCCAACGGTATCCATCAGATCAGTCGAATGAAGACCATGGTCCTCTTCGCTACCACTGACCATTGTCCCTCGGATATCTCTACTTCACACAGACGAGAACCTGTTAGCTTCTTTCAGATAAAATGTAAACCCGTAAGTCACCAAGCCATCGTTCAGAGAACGTAGCGGAATCCTTTTTCTGTGATTCCTTGCTTCTGCTCTTCTCTCTCCAGCCTGAGCTTCTTGTTCAATGTCTTCAGATGCTATCTAAGAATCCAAGTCATCGTAATCACGATAACGTTACCAGCGATCACAATGGTATAAGAGTACGTCAGGTTTAACTCTGTGTTCGTCTTGATATACAAAATCTGCGGGGGTCCACCATTCGTCAGCATTCCATGGAGCTGCCATGTTCCACCAGCGCCTTGGCGGGCGTCCTGGAGGTGTGGCATCGCCCTTGATACGAGTACCAAAATCTACTTCGTCGTAGTCGTGATCAGCCAACGAACCACTCGCTTGGAATGAGGATCGAGAATGACGAGATGGTGAGTAAGAAAATGATTGAGGGTTTCTATCATCTGACGTCGAAGCATTTTGCACGAAAGAGCTGGACCTGAAGCGGGCATGGGGCTCATCAACTGTCGCAGGGAGATTGTATGATGACGAACGTTTGTGACTTGGATATGGAGAATGTGTACTACCATGAGGACGTGGGGCTTCTAGAATAGGAGAGGCCGCAAGTGACGGCGGCCGATATCCAGATAGCGAAGGTGACGAATATTGGTTGAATGAGCCAGAAGACAAGCGAGGGCGCATATAGGGAATCGATCCAGCGGAAGAACTTGCAATGGATATCGACAGCTGTTCAACGATGCGCTGTCTAGGTGAAGTTTGCGGACTGGACGATTCGATGGAGCGACGAGCGACCTCCAAACCAAGGATGGGGTGCGGCGGAATGACATTGAAATACGACTGGCCGAAAGACGGCCTGCGCTGGTGTGAGTGAATTCCGCCGCCTGGGCTCTGCAGTGGAGGCTGCCGAAGACGAGGGGACGAAGGCGGTTTGAGCGGAGAGGAGATGTGCGGGGAGGACACAAAATCTAGCTGGGTGGAAGACGGCGACGCCAGTCTAAAAGCCAGGTTCCTGGAGAGGACATTACGCCAAGATAAAAGAAATACGATTGAACTGATGCAGTGATATATACCAGTAGGAGGATGTTTAGAAGGGAGAAGGTGTCGCTGGAACTGAACGAACGGGCGGGCAGTTGGCTTTATAGTCTTCAGCGCTCAGCAATGGAGTTTCAAACTGCAAGTGCAACACTACGCTTGCCTTTCTGGGTGCTATCGACGATCGCTAGCATTGTAAGTCCGTGGATATTCTCTGCCGACAAACAGGAGGACTGAAATACGAGTCAGACACTCGTTTGCGAGAGAGCTGCTGGAACTAATCTTACAGAACGATGGCTAAAGAACACCAGAAATGGAACAAGAGCCTTCCCTCCATCATAGCAAAGAACCATCCTGATAGGACCATTGAACTCAGTAGACTCTAAACAAGGTGTCGCCGCGTTTGAGTATTCCACTAATTGATAAGGCCGTTGAAATATTGCAATCCGCAACCGGGACTACCAGACGGTTGACTGTATTCGATAATGACCAGCGGCGTCATAATATAACATTCAACACTGATCGGGACATGGTAGATGTGACTCGACATCCTGCGAGACGGACGAGTGACACCGTGAAGCTGATATATTCATACTGGTTCATTCAAGTTGCGATGGGGTGCGGAACGGTGACAGATCGTGCTAATTCAGTTGTAACAGCCAGCCAGATGCGCAAATATCCATTTTTTGGGCACCTACACGGATTCTGTCGAGGAGCCATGCATGTCCTATGGAAGATGAGGGCAGGAGGATTACGTAATTGCGAACTTAGGCCTTTATGTGTCCAAGTTTGTCCAGTGAGTCACGCCACATATTCGGATCCATGATTCGCCGTTTTCAAGTTGCTGCAACGAAAAACTACTTGGTCGGTGGCCCAACTCCTCTACGTCGAGCCATACACATGTGGTAACGGATAATATGTACCCGAGTGCAGCCACTGGCCAGGTGCGGGCGCCCATCTAATACATGTAATGATCAACACTTATCGATACACTCATGAAAGAGGTAACTCTAAACACTGTTGTCGTAGATTGGTAGAGAGGCCTGTTGATGCTAAAAGGATTCATGTATCTCAAAGTCATACGTGATGGCAGGCGTTCAACAAAAAATGTGATTGCTTCCTAGCGTTACCAACAGTACGAGAACAAATTCCTTCCTTCCTTCATAAATGCATAACGGGGAGACTACAGCAGTACTAGTACAACTTGAAGACAACTTTGTCTCAAATGATAGCCATTTCAAGCGAGGTCCCACTCTTCCACATTCTCCGTGTAGAGGAGTTCTTTCACGGCCTCACTGTCTACAGACAAGGAAGGCTCAACGGTGAAGTTGGTCAAAAGGGTACTAAAAGTCAACCCCGACAGAGGAGTAAGTGAAAGAATCACCTAAGTCGTTCAGCAAGGTGAAAAACGCCTTACCGAGGAATTGGGTCGCAACCCCAGTCGTGGTGAGGAAGTCCCCGGAGTTTGCCACGAGAATGTTATGAGTGTATAACTGGGCATTGACACGCTGAACACTGGTAACGAAACTAGTGACGACGGAAGTGGACACAGCACGCCACCACTCAAGTACTCATCCGCAACTTCGCGGGTAGCAAAGGTAAATTAAAATTTTAGTGATGTGCCGGGCCGGGCCTCAGGCCCTCAAGCTGCCCTCGCTAGGCCAGGCCAAGCTGGGCCTACACTGCTAGCTTGTAAGGGTTTAGGGCCTGGCTCGAGTTTTTCCAGGCTTAAGCCAGGCATGAGCCAAGCCCAGGCCCGGTGATATGGCCCGGCTTGAGTTTTGGCAGGCCCAGAGCCCTCAAAAGCCAGGCCCAAGCCAGGGCTTTCAGGCCAAGCCAGGCCTAGGCCAGGGCTTTCAGGCCAAGCTAGGCCCGGCACATCACTAGGTCCCGTTTTCCGTATCTGAACAGCACAACATCGCAGACAACGAAGAATGGATTTTGGTACCTGTTTCACATATGCGTAGAAAACCATGATTGTATATTCAACAGGAGAGATAACTTGTTGGCTGTACCTGTGGTTGGTTGGATTGAAACGAGTCGTTCGAACACTGTACTGTATACATTATAGTGGCTACCCATTACATTACATTACTTTAGGTTTAGGCGGGAGTAATAAGCCCCCTGCGAATGGGGCTATGTCTAACATAGGGTCCCTGGCCCAAAGGGCAATAAATTTGATTTAAAAAAAAACTGCCG